GTCACATCCTTGCTAGGTTAGGTAAAACGATACGTAGCTGAGGGTGAGGCTGCTGGTGGATCTAGCCGGGACTATCTTGGCAGGAAACAATAACACGGAATATATGTTTACCTGCGCAAGAAGCACGCTGTTTACATCCAAACAAGACGTCCCTGGGCTTCGAAAAGGGAAACCGTATTCCCGACTCATGAGTTACAATCGGGGCATTCCCATACTTGCACTTTGGCGACCCAACTGAAATATTAATTGCAATGGCTTGGTGCAAAAACACACAATGGAATGCCTCATTACTTGATATATTCATCTAGGAGTAGAGCCAATCCACGGCTACCCAAGGTCATACAAGTGTGTCCCATCAATCAATACATTTAACGCCATGCCGTGTCATGCAAATTCCTCGACGCCTCCTGTCGCCACAAAGGCAACATGGTCTGAGCCCTCTTCTCAAGCAGATGTTTTCTTTCCAGACTTTCGCATCGTCGTCGTCGTCGTCTAGTTGGCCAAGATGGTGCGGACAAGCTCCGTGTAGTTGACCTGTCCGGAGCTGGTGTCAACGGCCTTGAGCAGCTCGTCGACCTCCTCGTCCGTCATCTTCTCGCCGAGATTCGTCAGGATGTACTTGAGCTGTCCAACTCCAATGAAGCCCGTCATGTCCTTGTCGAAAACTTGGAATCCTCGGCAGTACTCATCGGGCTCGCCGGGGTCGCGGAAGCCACCGGGTCGGTTCAGCACACGCGAGAATGTCTCGAAGTCGACTAAATTGGTAATATGGGTTACTAACATGTTATTTGGCGAGCGCTTGGTGAATCTATGGTTCTGGGATCGTCGGAACCGTCGCGCGGCTGGGGAATCGGGAGCGAGGTACACCGCATGTAAAGAGAAGGGCTGTCGACTCACATTCACCGCCAACGTTCTTCTCCAAATCCCTGATCTCAGCCAACGTCGGATTCTGGCCACAGGCGCGCAGAAGATCGCCCAGGCTGTCAACAGTGACGCGGCCGTTGCCTCGCTTGTCGAACAGAGAGAAAGCCTCCTTGTAGTTGGTAGAAGCCTGATTCTCGTAATTAGCCATTGTTGATGATGTTTTCCAGACGCCCGCGGATTGCGTAAGACTGTGGGCGTGTTGCGCGCAAGAATAAAACAAGGAGTCAAGTAGTGAAAAGTACTGCGGTCAGCCGCCAGAGAGGTGGTGGGATGTGCAGTTGCAAAAGTTGATGGTGTGATCCAAATGCGGGAGATGGAAAGTGATGCGAAGTCGGGGGCTGTTGGGCTGGAGGAAACAAAAGTCATCCGTTGGACGATTGTGCGATTCGGCCGCCGTAAACTGGAAGCCAGCCGGGCCCAAACTTGGCGCAGCGCATCGCATCAGGTAAAGTTCGCTGCCCGCTTGCCACTGGCTCAAGCTGGGCTGCTACCGTACAGTACTTGACTGCCGCGGGTGCGCTAAAGGCAAGGATCTGTTCTGGTAACCAGGGGCTACCAGCACTGCCAGCCTTTGCTTTTGGGGCGTGCTCCCTTCCGTGTGTGTGTGTATGTGTCTTTGGCTCTTGAGGGGTAATGTCGCACGCATGCATGCAGCTTGCAATTTTTTGTTTACAGCGCCGGGCGGTAGACCAATAGAGGATCACGTTGGGGCGAACAGTTGAAGACTCACCATTATGGCGGTATATGATCGGTAGAATCTGGAGAGACGGTAGTGAGGCTCGAAAATCGGTGGATCAGAGAACAGCGGTGATGTTTTTCGGAGGAGAAGGGCCTTTGAAACAGTTGATGAAAGAAGTTGGGAAGCTGGACTGTGTGTCTTTCCCCTATTATTATTAGGTAGCCAGACTCCAGGTGAACGAACACATTGACAGGGACCAATTTCATCCTCGTGCCTGGTCTGTGCCTTGATGCGCGCCCAGGTTGCGTAGCGGGGTTTAAGCCCATCGTCGGGGCAACGCGCTGGCAAGGACAAAGCAATGACGAGGGCCTTTCAGGTCGCTGATACCGACATCTTATCTTAATTGCCTCACGTCAGGATCAAAGTCCGATTGACGTGAACAGGCGCATGAAGCAATAGTGTTATTATTATTGGCAACTCAAAGGCAATGGGCAGTATATGATCTTGGTCTTAGTAACTCAACACACCTAGAACTTAGGGTGACCTTGCCATGCTCCCAACCTGCGATCCACTAGAACCACAATCTCGGTGGATTGAATGCGCTGGCACGTCAATGTCTAAAATTCCGTGTCTTTCCTGGATTCACATCTGTATAACAATTGTATTCTATATGATGATCATGTTTCTATCGCTGCGACAATATCGCAGTGCTACTCTCTACAGCTTCGCATTCGAAGCCCTTCTCTAGTGAATGCACTTACTCGACTAGAATAGACTTACCTGCACCTTTGTAGCCAAGCGCGCGTCTTTCACCTACGCGTCGCCATCAGGATATAAGTTCCCCAGTCCGACACGACATCTGCCTCTTTCCACTTGTCGCCCATGGCTTTCCACTCTGGTACCGCGTCGACCATGTGATCCCACATGACATCTACGACGTCTCCTTTACCGCCTTCGGCCCTGCTCTTGCTGTCCGGGTGAGCCTCCTTCCAGCCCGTGAAGCAGCTGAATGTCCGGGTGTAGGCCTCGACCTGGCCGAGCTTCATCTTCTTGGTCTGCCACGCGATTCTCTCCTCCTGGCCCGTCTGTCCCGGCTCGTGCTGAAGCCTCTCCACGTCCTTCCAGTCGCTCTCGGGCGGCGTCACGCTCCGGAGTAGATTTCTGAGTATGTTTCTGCCCGGCTGCTCCCAGTACTTGCCCATGCCCTCGACGCCCGGCGCAGCCTCCCCGAACCCGTAGACAAAGTGCTCCATGATCGTCGTGGCCTGCTCGTAGCCCAGCAGGATGTTGTCCTTGTAGCCCCAAAAGGCCATGGTACCTCCAGACTTGACCACGCGCGCGAGATTAGGCCATACCTTGCTGTAATCGAACCAATGCGCGGCCTGGCCCGCGACGGCCATATCCAGGGAGGCATCGGGGACAAAGTCGAGGTTCTCGGCGGAACCGTGCTTGAACTCGATCTTGGAGTCCTCGGTCATCTTCTCGGCCTGGGCCACCATGCCGGCAGAAGGGTCAATGGCCAGGGTGGACTTGAAGTGCGGGCTCAACTCCCGCGATATGAGTCCATGGCCGCATCCTAAATCAAGCAGCTTGCCCGAAGGTGTGGGCAACTTGTGGTATGCAAGTAAGGTCCTGTAGAGGATCGGCGGGTAACTTGGTCTGAAAGCCGCATAGGATTTGGCTGAGAAGGAGGTACGCCTGACGGCTTGTTAGTGCTGAGTCCTACATGGATAAGATCAATGTTTCCCATTGACGTGTAACTTGCGCAAAAGTCGACATGATGGTCGTGGAGACGGGGAACGTAAGATATGCTTCTTCTGGTCAAAGCATGTACAGTTTGAGACTTTTTTTTGTCCTTGTCAGCAGCAGAAGATGACACAGCTGAGGTACATGGCGTAGGTAGGTGGTCAGACGCCCGGTCGTCCGAAACCGCGCCGAGGAGATAGAACTGTCCATGATAGGTAGCAGGTCCCTGAAAATCGCCTATGCAGTCCCCACATGACGCCAGACCCGGGGTACTCACTGCATGGTAATGTGGAAAGGGCCTACAGAGTGAATGACAAATAACGGCCATAGGTTGCATTCATACAACATATTGCGTGACGCTGGTCTTGGCCAATTTCGATATTTGATATTCAAACAGGAATCACGTCTCATTCCACGAGCACTTGTTCATCTATAAGTCAGTTCGAGATTCCAGACTTGTTCGACAGATTGAACCTCCTTCGTGTCGTCTCTCATAGCTGTCAAATACTTGCACGTCTCAATTCGCTCCAACTCCAACATGTCAACCGAGGCAACAGTCCGCGCCTTCTTCGCATCGCCCAACTTTGCCGTCGTGGGCGCGAGCAACAACCCCGCCAAGTTTGGCCACAAGAGTATGTTCGGTTCGGTCGTGCTGCTGAATCCATTTTCCGAACCATCCGGCTTATGCTGACTCGCTTCATCAAGTCTTTGCCTGGTATATCCAGCACGATATCCCGGCGATTCCCATCAACCCGGGCAGCGCCAGCATCGACGTGGGCTCGCAGTCGTTCGCAACCAAGCCGTCGCTCTCGGCCCTGCCAGACCCCAAGCAGACGTCCGTGTCCGTTATCACGCCCCCATTTGCCACCCTCAAGGTCCTCAAGGAGGCCAAGGAGCTGGGGATCCCGGCCGTCTTCCTCCAGCCCGGCACCTTTGACGACGAGGTGCTCAAGTATGCCCGGGCAACGGGTGACAACGGGTTCGGCGGTCATGTCGTCGCGGGCGACGGCGGAAGGGGGTCCGAGGGCTGGTGTGTACTTGTCGACGGAGAGAAGGGCTTGAAGGCGGCTGGAAAGCTGTAGACTAGGCAGTTCATGGATCAGATAGATACAAGACTAGCGGAACTTGCATCTTCATCTTACAATGGAAGGGCTCTCACTTCCTGATTCGATGTATTTTTTTTTATTTTTTTGCGCTGGCTAGATCTTGATAGGCCGAGGATTTCGAAGTAGTCGTTCGTGTCTATATGCCTTGCCAAATTAATCGCTTTGATGGGTTTGTGACCACCTACATGAACGAATAGACGATACTCGATAAGCCGTGGATTACATCTGGCGGACTCCAAATTGCGTATTGATACAGGTCTCAAATGAAAGGAGTCAATTTGAAAAAGTGACATCAAGCAATTGATACCAAGTCGCCTGTTGCTAACATTTTCAAACTCATATTTGACCGTTTCAACTGAAGTTCAAGTCAAATTCGGAAATAGATGCCCGTGATGGCAGGCCAGAATTAAAGTCTAAGCAAGAAAGCATAGACAGTCATTGGATAGATGTCAATGGGGATAGAATATAGTCACGAGTCAAAAAGCGATCAACCTGCTCAGGCAAAGCCACGATGGAGGAGGTATAAGATGAAAAAAGCAAAAATGTGGAGAAGCTGGGAATCGAACCCAGAACCTTTTCCATGCTCATTCGAGACATGCTAAGGAAACGTCATACCACTAGACCACATCCCCTGAGGTTTTATCGCCGACGAGGCCGGTGATGATCTGAATCATCGTTGGATGATTGGATGATGACAGGGGCGATTATTACCAAACAGATACCTGAGTGTGTGGGCGGCCGAAATGGCGGATTGATTGGGGTTCCACAAGGACTCCGCGAGGATGAGATTGTGCTGCTATGAACTATCCGCGCATAGATTGGCTCGAAGTGCGCAATACAGACATGTGAGAAAGCGGTGAGAGTGTAAGCTCGTGTCACCTTGAAGGGCGAGAAACCGAAGATTGAATCAGATGTATGGCCCAACGCCGTACATGTTAGTCTGCTAGATTTGTGGGACTATCGCGAGACAGAGTCGGCCGAACATTTGGTTACATGCAATAAAACTTGTGCGAGTGCATTATTACGCACGGCGTGTGAGGATGGCAAGGGGACTGACAGACAGGACAAAATAAACTCAGAGACTTGAAGAGAGCAAAATATTCTTCAGTCGTTTGGCAACTTGGGCGGCTCAACCTGATCATAACCCAAGTACAGATCACCGCGGGGTAAAAAGTTGATTAGAAAAATAAATCATGTCTAGAAGAGGGGCAGCAAGGGCAAAAACGAAAAAAGAATTGCTCAGCCACAGGATTGAACTGAGGACCTTCGCATAACTTGATATTCTCTTTTGAAGAATATTAGTACGACGCTCTAACCAACTGAGCTAGCCGAGCAATGTCGATTGTTGAACATTTGTGTCTTATCTTATGTTAATAATTTTGCAGTGGAGAAAACGCAAGATCTGTTCTCCAACTAGGTACCTAGGTAAAGCCTGTCCGAGATCGCCTCTGTCATGGAGGGGAAATTGGCGTCGGTAAAGCGTGCGGCTAGAACAGGTGCCTGTGGAGTCGATTAAACATCTCCAAACTCCGGACCCCTCCCGAGTATGCAAGAGGATCAACATCACAAGCTTCTCAACTCGCAAATTCACAAACGATTTCCTCAAATACGGCCGAGACATTAATCTGCCGCTAATCTTTCACGATCGTGAACCATGTCGCATGGGTAACAGGTGCTTTGACATCATCTAGAGCCTTGTTGTGAAAGTTTACGTCTGTTATCTATCGTACGTTGTGGGCATTGGGGAAGCACGTGCAAAGGCCTACCGAAAACACCGATACTGGTTTCTCAAACACGCAAACCTTGTTCTTCGCGAATTAATGGTCTCGGATTATTAGTCATAACCTAGTCTGCATCCCTCGGACTGTTTTTCAACATCATCGTAGTTGACAGTCATGATCGTCTTGCGTCGAGGCACATACATCATAGCCAAATCGATTTACAGAGCACTCGTAGTCGGAGAAAGGGCTCCTTCTCATGTGTCGATAGAACGACAAACTCACCGTTCAAGACATTGGAAGGCTGTAAGACTCACAGCCTCCAACAACATGCGTTCGACGTGCTATCTATCCCGATGCTTTGGTATCGTTTCCCAACATGCTCATATTGTCAACTGCCAAGCGTTGCAGTTGCGACCCCTGCAAGAGGTACTATACTGTCAGAACCCAAACTTGTGTGGCTACTAGTGAGCTTCGTTGGACACCTCAGCCTGCTAGAAATAGTTTGGAACATTCGAATGGGTGGCTTCTTTGCGTGGGATGGTCAATCTTGCCCACCACTATTCAGTACTCCCGTGATATATGGAGTAGGTAGCGGCTTCCGATGCTACCATGACTTACCAACCAACCTCTCTCCAGCTGATAGCAACAGCAACCCATACTTACTCGAGTAGCTGAAAACCAACCTCTAATCGCAGCATTCCATGATTCTCTCGAGAATTCGGACGGTAGTTGTGAATGGCGGGAATCTGTGACATTTCTGATGCTCCTCAACCCCCACAATGGTATAATCAGTACGTGATACGACGAAAGACTTGGACAATGCTGGGCGTCAACGGTCAAACGGGCCCAGCCACGGGTCGACAGGGTATGAGACGTCGAGCTGGCCAAAGAAGTGGCCAGCCACTCAGAAAAGGGTCCAAGGAGATAGAGTATCCGAACCCGGATTTGAGCTACAGAACATAAGCGAGAGCTAGAGACCGGGATGCCATGCAGACATCACATTACCGAGGGGCCAAGACATAGAGCGAGTCGATTGTGACGAGATCTGCGGACAACTCTAGAACTTCTGAGGCAATTCTTATCGAATTACAATTGGCTAGAATTGGAGACCTGTTTAGTTCTGCAAATGCAATGCATTTCAAAGATGCCGGTGCGGAGTACATGTCTTGCCAAGCAGTGGTGTGCTTTTCCCCTCGAGGGCTCGAGTATAATGGTTTCCGGTACGAGTGAAAGAATGACGGGTGAACCTCGACCTCATTACTCAGAGATTCCAGGAGTGATGCAGCAGAGCAAGGTCTGTCGTGCACAAGATGTGATGTCATTAGACTATTCGGGAAGTTCTTCATTGCCCATGGCATTCACACGAGCTTCCAGCGCCGGAGAATGTGTGGGGGATAAAACGTTGGGAACGGAGGTGGAACATGCAATGGTTCGCATAGTCGAGAGGCCGCTCGCGGCAATGAAAGCCCTTGGCTACTACTCCGCCGGCGGCAACACATCGATCTGCAGCTCGTTGACGAAATACCGGCTGCTGCCATGCTTGCTGCTGCTACCAAGACCTGGGCCGTGGGGTCTCGTGCCCGTCTGCCGTCGGAGTGCTAGGTATAAACGATCTCGACTATCGCTCCACACACCCCGGACGCGACCGGGTAGCGACTGGTGCTGGCGATTGCTGAGGGTTGAATCTGTTAAACTTTCAAGGCACTCGAGGAACTCTCTAGGTCACTTCCAATACCTCGACGCGCCCAAAGACGAGCTGCCCCGAAGCGGAAGCTCAAGGGTTGTTATCATCCCCACCACTACGCGTTCACTCGATGGGACGAAACCACGACCTTCCGAAAGCGTGCCTAGGCGCCCAGGGTCCGACGAGGTCCCCGCCAATCACGACCAGCTGCCCCAATTGCTGTTCATTTATATGCAAAAGCGATTAGGATATGGGGCCGGCATACTCGACCCCGACTTATACAAAGGCCCGGTGCCACGATTTCCCCCCTCGTGCTGGGAAGAGATGAAAGCGAGAAAAAAGATGGACCACGAGAAAGACTGTTGCAGCCGAGAATAGGCCATGAGCTCCGGTATTGGCATTGGTATTGGCATTACCACTTCCCATGTGTCATATGCTCGATTCGTTCTGTGAAACTCTCGCTTCTTTGTATACCCAACTTGTGCAAAACATATCAAAATCGCTAGGCGAAACGCACTGATCCGACTATCTTGGTCATTCAAACCCAATACTGGAACACTGTACAAGCGATTTTGTCTCTGTTCAATCTTCCCTCTCTTGTCAGTGGCTACCGCAAACATGGCGGTCGAAATGGAGGATCTATTGGTTCAGCCATTCAGAGAACTTATCAAACGTGGCAATGAGGCCATCACCAACGGAGAGGCCGCTCGTCTGGAAAACCCGGAGCTGTCACAGGTGATATTAAGATCAGCTCGTGCTGTGGTCAGAGAGGGGGAGCGGGCACTACAAAAAGTGCAGCCATTGCTGTTAGATCACCTGGAAAGACATGGCGACGGATTTCGGGATGCTCTCAAGCACTGTGGTAAGTTGGATTAGGCGCCAAGCCAAGTCTTGGCAATGACGGAGGGACGACCGTTTATTGACAGGTATACAGATGAGGTGTTTGAAAGCCAGCGGCAGCTAGAGGATGTTCTCTACGACATTGATGACTACATCGAGGTGGACACTTTCGATGCCACCAAATTCTCTCAACTTCAGGCCGCTTCCAAAGCCTTTGCGCTCAGCACGATCGACAACATCAGGAGGTTGAGAATTGGCGAGGCCTTGCCGTCACCGGCCTCGTTCCCTCCCCTTCCTGCGATTCCCCGGAGGAGGCCAAGCAAAGTCGAGCCATTGATCATCACGTCACGACCAGGAACGAGGAACGGCCACTACGGCGTCGAGCAGACGGTATTCACGCCGCAGGGGACGTCGGCGCCTCCGAGCGCCCACTCGCGCCGTGCTCTATCTACCAGCATCCGCAGCAGCCCGGGCGAGGCACACATGCTACACCGGATGAGCTCCAAGAAGTCTCAGAAGTCACTGGCTCCGTCGACGAGCAGCTCCGATAGCCACTATTCCCAGGCGAGTTTCCAGTGGTCGGGAGCTGGGCAGTCGGACACGCGGGGCTATAATTCCCAGCAGGTTTCGGACGTGGAGGCGCTCGGCGACGAGATCCAAAATCTCTTGAGCGAACCGAACAGCCCCAAGTTGATGGAGAACAGGCAGACGACATCGGCCGCGTCAACACCCTGGACAAGTGCTTGGGTTCACGACCAGCTCACGTCGCCACGGGACATGACGGCGAAGGAAACGATTCCAGAGGACTCGCCAATCGGAAGGTTCAGCGAGGAGAGCACCGAGTCTGCCAGGACCAAGAGGTACACGGTGGAAAGCGACACCCTTGCCGCGGACGTGGTCTTTCCCAGCACCAGAATGAGCCACGCCTCAAAAGTACGCAGGGCCTCCATGATGCCAGGCACGAATAACTCGTACGCCTCGCTGTCTAGTAGTGCCCCGACGGGTGAAATGCGAATCAACCAGCAAGCCCAGCATTCCCAGGAAACGCTGGTACAGAGTCTGATAGAGCCTTACTCGCCGGCAAACGTCTCCTCTGGAACGGGATCAATGCACAAGTCGAACGGGTCGACTGGCGGATCATTACACAAGTCACACGGGTCGACCGGCGGATCACTACACATGTCACACGGGTCAATGGACAGCGCGAATCTGCCACAGGAGTTCTTCCAGCGGCAAATATGGAGGCCAAATATACCCTCTGACGCCTCGGTCAAAGATCTATCCCTAGAGCAGCCGAGGACTGCTCCCAAACCGCCCGTGGTCCGGCCCATGGCTAAGGCGCGGATCGAGGACGACGAGCACCCCAAGCCCGTGTGGTACTCGCGGG